AGAGACGAGCCAACAAGGGCGAATACGCCACCGTTCTGGAGGACGTGCTGCAGAAAGAAAAGGACATTCTCGTTCTTCTGGCACAGTTTGGCTACGCTTACGTGACGGAGGTGCTTCCAGTCTTGCATCGCTTTGACCTCGTCTCTTTTGCCCCAATGACCGGGTCGAGCGTGGTGCGTGGGTGGAATTCCAACCTGTACTTTTTGCGCGCTGGGCCTGCGGCCGAGCTGCTGGCACTTCTCCGCTACGCCGTGACTCAGCTGCGGGTGCTTCGGCTGGGCTTCATGTACCTGCAGGGTGATTTTTATGGTAGAACGGAGTATGAGCAGGCACAAGATGTGATGTCGAAGATGGGCTACGAGTTCTGCGGTGTCTTCACCGTGAAAACCGCTTCGAGTGGTGAGGCCGACCCTAACGAGTTCGACGATGTGTGGAAGCGGTTTGCCGCGACTCAGCCGCAGGCTGTGATTGTGTTTGGCTCGCCGCTAGCAGCCACTGGGGAATTCGTTACGAGGATGCTGAAGGACGATCGCACCGCCGGCGCGTACCTGCTGGCCTCCGTTGGTTTGCAGCCAACTGTTCTCGACACGTGGCGTGCTGCCGTGGCTGGTGGTGTCAAGTTTGTGCCCGGGCAGGTGATCACGACTGGGACGAACCCGCTGGCGAAGGACGCAAGGCACGAAGCCATCCAGCGTTTCCAGGCGGTGATGCAGGATTAACTGGAGAACAGTGGGCAGAGGGTCTACAACGACGCGGATCATTTCCTCAAGAATGACGGTGACGGGGAGATGATGGTTGCTGGGTGGATTGCCGGCGAGGTGCTGGTGCAGGCGCTGAGGGACTGTAAAGGGGTGAAGGACCGCAAGTCGTTCTTGGCGTCTATCTTCAACCAACGCCGGTATTTAATCGACGAGCTTGTGATTGGCGACTACGGTGTCGAGTGCGAAGGCGAGGCTGCGTCACGCGGCGCCATCTGCCGCTGCAACCAGGGCGGCACCGCGGTGTACATGAAGCGGTTCGTGGAGGACTACCGCGCAGAGACACTAGATAGGGGTCTCATGACGTTTCGCTTGTCAGTTTGTCACGGTTCGGTGATTCAAATACCGCCGGTGCTTATTGGGCTGGAGTTTCTAATGAATGACAACGCTGTAGCACAACGTGCCTTTGCCGAGTTGAACAACGGAGTTCTTTTGGCAATTGCCAGCCTTATGGCCTCGTGGGATGAAGCTGAGATCAACATGGCCTCTCCTCCCTCCGCTCTTGCTGATGCCCGTGACGCCCTGCAGTCGGAGCTGCAGTCACGGCACGTTCATGGGGTTGTGGGGGTTGCGACGGAGGCGATGCTGGGCGTGGGGGGTGTGGCCTTCATCGACCCGCTGCAGCTCGAGCCGCGGCTGAACAGGTTCCGCCGGCACGTGATCCACCTGTCGCCGACGCTGGAGCAGCAGTTCTTCGTGCTGGCGGAGTACCTCCGGGACGCGGGTGTCCGCGTGGCGCACGCGGTGGTCCGCGGCGAGGGGGCGGCGGCGGTGGCGGAGGTGCTGCGGCGGTCGCTGGTGACGTTTGGGGGGTCGCTGCGGTCCGCGACGCTGCTGGCCGGCGGCGACGCGGTGGCGGGGCACCTGCCGGAGGCGGGCGACGTGTTCGTGGCGGGCCTTGCGGCCGGCGACGTCGCTGCGGTGGCGCGGCACGTGGCGTCGCACGACGGCGTGCGCGTGTTCGTCGCGTTCTCCGAGTTTGCGCTGCTGCACGCCGACTTCGTTGCCGCGTTCGGTGGCGGTGCGTGCGTTGACCGCGTCGTGTTTGCGACGAGCCTGCCGCACTGGGACGACGCGAACGCGACGTCGGAGACCGCCCGGGAGTTCCTCGCCGCCGTGCCGGACGTCACGCAACGGACGCCGCTGGCGCTGATGGGCTTCGCTGCCACGCAGCTGCTGCGGACGGTTCTCTCGCGCATGGACAAAGTGAGCGCTGCGCGGCTGACAGACTTCTTCTACAAGAACGTTGCCGTCACCGCGAAGGAAGTGCTGTACGGCTCCTTCGTTAACGGCACGGCGTGCGCTGCGGCTGCGGCCGGCGGTGCTGGGTGCGGCAAG